AGACTTGGAAAAAAATTTGGAATCAGAATTCTGGATGTGAATGCCCTACACATAGGCTTTGGCTCTGCATCTGAACTCTGCACCTTGTGCCCAACTTAATCGTTACCCGTTTCTTTTGAAAAGGCTACGCATGAAAGAACCGATGTGTTACGAGACAGCCGTGACCTACGTAAACTCCAAACAAACCATTCATCACTGCAAAGCTCCAGAACAAGCTGGTGCTTTCTGAGGGAACAGTGTTCTTCTAAACACACATTATACATAAAGAGGAAACAGAAAGTACATAGTGTAGGCTTTCATCAATTGTATACAAACAAAGCCTTTGATAACTCTCTGAATAAGCTTGAGATTGTTATGCCTGGGGCCAAGGGGCTCTCAATAGTTTAAGATCTCATTTTCCAAACTTTTGGTCAGAGCGATCTTTTCAAGCACCACGGAGAAAGGAATACTTTTTCCCTGACCAGCATTATGATCACAATACCCTTACTCAAATCCTTACATGCACTGTCTTTTCCCACACCAAATTCAAACTTCACAGCCCCAGGGCACATGAGGGTAGTGCTCACCCTGCCCACCTCTACAGCCACGTTTGCTGTTACTCAAACTTTCCTTTCATGGCCCGTCTTGTGCCTGGAACAGCTGGCCTTCTCCCTTTCTCTCATCTTCCTGTAACTCAGATCTACCAAGCTGAACTAACATGCTGTGCTGATTTCTTTTTCTTAAATAATCTACTTAAAATATAGAGATATGGCAAGATTCTTCTGCAAAACCAGGAAGGCAACTAGAGGTGGGTCCATGGACCAAGAAAGTGCCCTCCATTTTATGTTCTGCAGTTCATACCACAATGCAGTTAGTGATATGCTCTTCCTTTACAGGCATATCAACATGGGAGAACTATTCACAGTTAATTTAGATTAAAGAGGCTGTTAATTCTAAGGAGGAACAACTACACCTAAATAATGGAATGCTCTTATTCCAGAGTAAGTGTTTTAGTGCAACCAGCTTAATCCAGTCACTTATTTTCAACTTATTTTCTCTTTGAAAGTAGACCCTAAATCAGTCTGACCTAATAACTCAAATCTATCTCATTCTTTACTGTGGTGGTTTTGTTTCAACTACGTTAGTAGCTTTGGATAATAAAGTAAGGAAAATTTTATGCACTCAATTTAGTATCACATTCTTTATAAAAATGGGGAAGAGCAATTACTTTATCAAGATATTTGGACTTTGTAGTCCAAACAAACTACGTTAGTATCCCAGGTCTAAAGATTTCTTGTTCTTTAAAAGTATCATGTGACAACTGGTAAGCAACAGAAATGTACTTAACACTGTGGTATGCTGTAAGGCATATTAGCAGCTGTACAAATAATTAGAGCCCTTCTCAGATAAAACTTCACCAATTTCACTCAGTTTTCTCCTGAGTAGCGAAGGAGTGAAATCCCTCTGAGTGGACAATAGATCAGTGAAAGCCTTTACAAATGTTAAAAAGTTATGCTCCCAGGGTATAAAAACGCTACCTGCTGGTGACTGAAAGAGCATGATTTTCAGACTTGCATCAAATTCCGCTGGATTTCAGCTGGTATTTTCCTACATGCATTCAACAGAAACATGTCACTTTTCCCCCAACCAAGTAACTATTGCAGCACTTGAATGGTGATAGGAGGGTTTTAGCAGGGCATGCTTTTTTTTCCTTCTCAAAAAAAAAAAAAACCCACACATGCACAACTTAATCAATCCGATTCCCCTTGCGTGCCTCTGATTCCCGATTCTGCAAGAGAATCATTTACCAGAAAACTTACATTATTAACATCCAATCAGGACTTTTGATTCAGCCCCTTACAGAAAACAAGGTCTGCTGTTCATTTGTGAACCAGACCGGGGGGCGGGGTTTTTTTTTTCTCTCTACTCAATGGAGACCAATCAGGGAATCACAGAAAACAGGGCTGGGTAGGGACTGATGGGGTCATCTAATCCATTTCCTCACCTCCAGGCAAGACCATTTGTGTCTAAACAATTCTTAGCAGTTATTTCCCTGCTTTATTCATAGGAGACTTCAATGATGGGTTCCCTTAACATCTCTAGGTAGTTTACGTCAATGTTGACTGTACACATCAATAGAAAGGTTCTTTTATGTCTGACATACACCTCCAGTTAAAGACATGATTACTTTTTCTGACTTTTAGGCTGTAAATATACACTAAACTACTAAGTCTGGTAGCATATACATTTATAGTCGTTTTAGTTACTCCTGGTAGCAATTACTTACTCTTTCTGCAAAAATTACTGCACTAATGCGATCTCATTTTAGACTCACCCTACACCACTGCAGCAGGTCAGCTCTAGGACATCACAATAGTCATTTTGTATCTATTTATTTTCATCAGAACTGGAATACAAGCAGCAATTAATTCCCCATAACAAGGCTCTGGATTTAGGCAGTCTGGAGGGGAAGATTCTGAGAAGGGAGCAACATCCTAGAAACGAAGGCTATTTCGTGGTGCCTAAAATTGCTGTGAGTCAATTCTGAGCCACGGAATGGCGCTTCCAAACTAGACTAGTGTTTTCTCTTTTTGGTTGTATTTCAGGAAGAAAATAAGGTCACTTTTCAACCATTTCTGTCAAGTTACCTAGACTGTCTAACAAAAGTTAATTTACAATGAGAGGGGTCTACAACAGGCGCCATTAAGTCTAGAGCCATGAGACTGACTTCTCCCTGGACATCAGCTTGAAAAATTATGATGTAGAAGGGCACTGTACCTCTGTGTGAAATGTAATGCTTTTTATTCCAAGAAATTCTTTTCTGTTCCAGTCAGCTAATGTATAGTGAGGCTTTTCTAATCACTGTTCTTAAGAGAAAGCAAAAAAATGTAATTCATATGCAGACATTCTCAAGCCAATAGTCAGTACCTTTTTTTGTTTTTTTAATTTACCGTCAAGTCAAGAAAAACAAGGTTCCAATTAAGCCAGGATAACCGATATATCTTCCTAGTGCTCTTCCCCAGTAGGGTTTTGTAACTATAAGTGCATAATGAAAAATATATTTATATGGGAGAGAGAGGGAGAGAGAGATCCGAAATGTTCTGAAAATATGTAGCGAATAAGATCTGTTTTCTGCACACAAAAGCAGAAAAAGGAACGCTTGCATTTCCCTACTATTACAAAAAAATAAAGAAATGACTTTTCAAAGTTATTCTTACCTGATTAACTCTCAGTCTGATATAGGTACTGTATAACCAAATGCTAAAATCCTTTCAAAATGTCAAAAGACAAAGGCTACTATTACTATTCCCTGACTGGATGATTAAACACGACCTTTGATTAAAGTGAGAATTTTAACATTTGAAGGTTAATCTTAAAGCAAATATAAAACTTGCTGTCAACAAACAGTCCACCACAGACCAGGGTTCTTTTTAATTTTGGCGGGAGGGGGAGAATATTTTGTTTTGACTCTGTTAGCAGACTCCAGCTACCATTTTTTCTATTTCAAGGTTATCGGAAGGGGAGGAAAAGGGTAGGTAACAGTCCTTAAGCTAACTGGAGCCAAACTACAGGATCAGACTAGAAGGTTTTGAATATTATATTTTTCTCAGTGAATATTTTTAAGCTTAAGTGAACTCTCCAGGAACAGTGAACATTATTAAAAAGGAAACTAAACACATTTTCATAGAAGATGAGCCCGAAGGATTGTGAATGCAATAAAAGTGAAGTCATTTTCCTAACACAAATACAAATTACTCATTTTTTTTAACGTGCATTCTTTGTTCAGGTTTTTTCTTAGATAAAACTTAGATCAGATGGGTTTTTTTTCTTACATCAAACTAAGATCACATACTAACCTGCCCAAATGGGATTCAGGTTCACTAGAGCATAGATCCCACAAAACTATAAAGTCACATATTTTCCAGGTAAAATAACTATACTTCACTTTTTATTTTACCCAGTCTTCTTTGGTGCATGACAATATCTTAATGCTTATGAATAACCTTGCTTTTTTCTGGCTGTAAGTTTAGTTGCTGTCATACCAATAAATGTTAAATATTAATTTAGGACCTATCTTGCAAATCATTCGTAACTTGGCAGAAAGACTGACTTCCAAATGTATTTATGTGCCTAAGGAAGCCAACACGGATGCTAAGAGAACTTGAAAAGATTAGACTTGTTTTTCAATCTTTGTGTGCTTGGACATTCTGAAAATGCCACCATTTGCAAGTAAGCCCCTTCGAAAGCCTACCTCCTGTCATAAAGGCCCCTTCTCTGTGAGTTGGTGTGAATCGATTCTGTTAGGGGTGTCGATGCCAAAAGAGTTACCAGAAAACAGCAGGGAAAAGACTAGGAAAAGCTGTATATGAAAGTCTCTCAAAAACCAGTGAGCTCTGGAGGCTAATGGTCTGGTTGAACCCATAAAATTGGCAGAAGGCCACCAGCACAAACTAGCATCAATGAGAGGGTACATAACTTGGACCACATCCAAGAAGGTGGTAGCTGCTATAAGTAGACCAAGACTGTACGATTACGTATGTACTCGATGAAACAAAGGACCATCCAGGTACTTCCTGAATATCTACCTAGAAGGCACTAGTGCGCCAGTAGGACCTTCCACTTTGGAATAAAAGCTGCAGTTGGCCTCCCAGCTGTTGCTCCAATCACACATTGGGAGCGAGAGCGTGTGTGTGAGTGATGTATGCATGCACATGAACTACATCAGGGAGTAATTGAACGCACTGTGTGACTAGTTATCTGCTTTTAATAACAACAGCTCAGTTCCATGATCAGTAACAGGTGAATTAATAAAAGGTGTTCTAACAAATATTGGTTGCGATCTGTTTCTCCCCCAGCTCATTTCCCAATTGGGGAAAAGGGAATTTACAGCAGCCCTAGTCCTGCTGCTCACTACGTGAATGGCTCTATTTCTTGCCAACAGTAGCAAGTAGCATTAGCTTGCCCTTCAAGCTTCCAAGGGAATAAGGAGCAGTATGACTTTTTTATCTTAAATTACTTACTTGGTAGGGATACAGAGTGACGCCATTTGTTCTTGACAATGACCAGGTGCCGTCAAGGTACTGATGAGCCTGGATAGCCACAGAGTTGAGAACATTACCATTGCTGGGGCTGGTGGCCACTTGAAAGCTGACCTTGGCTTGGTGTCCAGGAGAGCCATTTTTCTTCTCCACCCCATTGACAATTCCTAGACTGTTGGGTTTCCCACTGTGCTTGTTGGCCACAAAGCCTGTATAATTAGATGTAGCATAAGGAGCAGGCACGTATGCCCAGTCCCTGGGCTGCAGGCTGCCCATGTGCCGGGAGCCCACTAAAGTGGGGATGTTGGAGAGGGGTGGCGGGGAGCCTGGCGAGGCATCGTAATGTTCAGAGTTGGCAGCGTGCTCTAATGTCAGCACCATCTGAATGGCCTCTTGCTTCAGCTGGTTCAGGTGGGTAGCACAAACGTCACATCTGTTGTCCTTCTCATTCCACGCCTTCCGAATGGTATTGGGAACTTGGAGTTTGTCGTGAATCACTGAAGAGAAGCCTGGGTCCTAAAAATCAAATAGAGAAGGGAGGGGGACAGGAGAGAAATATTTAACCATGGTCACTGCAGTGAAACGTAACTACTGCTGATTGTGCATTTCAAAAGCCAAGTTATGAGATAAGCTTATAAAGCAAACAAAGGCCATAAGATACAGTCAGTATATGCCAGCCACAGAGTTAAATGACAATGAGAAACCAGATTGTGTTGGGAAGAAAAACTTCCTTTTACTTTTACTGATAAATGGCAAATATTATAATTCCACTGCAAGCTTCAATGCATGGCAGAGAGAATGAATTAACCTGCTTCACCCCAGTGCACCTAATTTCTGGCTTGAATGAAACCTACTCTTAGTTACACAGTGAGATCAAGAGCAACTCCGCTAAAATCAGTGCACTCCTAGCAAGGTCCACAATCTGTCTACTCATCAGTATCAGCCTTTGGTACCAGAAAACCCAGAATATACTCTGCAACAAAAATGCAAAATTTCAAAGCATGCGCATGAAGAAAAAATGAAAAACAACAAGAATATCATCACCCTCCCAAAATCCTTTTCAGATTCAAAACAGGTGGATATTTGATAACATTTTCAAAAGTTTTCCAGCATTTCATTTACCAATGCTTTTCAGCCAGAAAATAAACACTCCTGTTAATAGAATATTTTACCTCTGTTGGGTATTTACTAACAGTGTAAAATAAAAGTATAATTTTATTTAGAAAATAAAACCTGTATAGGACCAGCAATTTGTAATGAACAATTTTGTTCTTGAAAAGTGTCTTGACCACATGATCAGATTTAAAACTTCCTGTCTCATGTAGAATTCGCCTACTATATCCTACCTTATCTCACGGGCAGATGTCACTGGTGCTCTACACAGAGAGAGGTACCACCCAATGTGACTACAGCCACTGAATGCAGGCCCTAATTGCACAGCGCCTCAGGAAGCTGTGAAGTCTAACAGCAGCCTTAGAAGGGGCTTATCACCAAACTTGCCCAGTTCTTACAGTATCAGGCAGTTTTACAAATGCACAGCAATAATATCCATGTGTCTCACACGGCAAACCATTACAGCTACGTAATGGAAACTAACGCTTCTTATATAGTAGTCTGGGCTTCTCTCTTTCTATGCAACACCAGCAGAGTTTTAGACCTGCAGTGCTAGCAAGTGGTGTGTATGTGTGTTTGTGGGGAGGAGGAATACAGATATATAGATAGATAGATAGATATGGGCGTGTGTGTGTGTGTGTGTGTGTGTATATATATATATATACACACAAACACATGCATGTTTGCTTGATAATGTAGGTAAGCATGCGTGAGGAAATAAAGCTTCACACACAATTCTCCGGTAATGGAAATTTCAAAGAGACAGACCAGGGTTTTATGCTTTTACAGGCCTGTCTGGGCAGGCTTCACCTTCCTCTCCTTAAGTTTTGGATACTTACTGGTGTCTTTTATGTTAGGACTACTCAAACATGATCTACGCTCAGTAGTACCAACTGAGCCTTTTTTATTATTATTTATTTTTTTCTTCTCAGAGGCTTTACCAGTTTCAGATTCAAAGTGAAATCACATTGGAAGAGTGGAAAAAAATAAAAAGAAAAAAGAAAATCACACAAATGAAGACTATCTTTATCAAGTAATTTGATGAACCCCATGCCATCCAAGACAGACAAATGCCATGTCTTGATAGTATGACTGTGCTAGGAAAGAACGGGTAGTGAGTATAATATAAGGAGGGAGAGAATTCATTGGTAGAGGGTCACATTCATTATGATCCGTCTTTATTATATACTCAAGCATTTTATTTTCACTGTTTAACTACCGTGAACAGCTCCTCAGCATGCAGTGATTAATTGATTCATAAATCATAGTGCCTCTTTATGCACAGCAGCAAAAGAGCAGTTCTAGCCCCAGAAGCCCAGGAGAGTCGTATAAGCTGATGGGAAACAACAGGAGGCTGAGATCTGATCAAGCCTCAAGCTGGTCATTCCTATTGCAGGCACCAAGGGGCTCAGAGCAGCAAAGTGTGTCAGGAAGGCAGGAACTGGATTCTGCATCAACCTTCCCTCCGTAACCTTGGGGAAAGGGACAGGTGGAAATCAGGGGGGAATTAACAAGAAGCGAAGATGTCATATCTTATTTGCCATCCTAGACCATAACTAGGTCAACAGATCACGTCAGATACAGGCACCCCATCCATGACGCCAGGTATGCAGGGAGAGGACTCTCTACCTTTCCCATAATGCACTAGACAAAAGCTATCTATACAGCTGAAGTGAGGTGCAACTCTTATTTCCAAGCTGCTCCACGTCAGTCCAGGAAAAATCCTTGCCAGCTCTTCCTCCAGCTAGCTAATGCCACAGAGGTGGCTGTTGTTCTTCGACAGCTAGCTTCCCTTAGGCAGTTGGGCTGGAACCCAGGTAATTATATACAACGTTTAGATTCAGCAGCAATTCAAGATGGAAATTCTTGGATACTATGATAAATATTCCAAGGAAATAAAGCCTTTCCTAAAGTAAGCAAATGTCAGCATGATATAAATATTCAAGTAGCACACTAGCTTTAAGGAGTGCTGGACAGCAGTGAATTCAGCTTCATCTCAATGTTAAAACAAACATCAGATCATTCTCTGATACAACAATAAACACAAGGAGAGAGGAAGGAAGACTGTTCCTCCTCAGGGATAAGAAAGAAGAAAACAGACACAACCTGAATTGATTACTCTTACAAACGGCCCTACTAATCTATCAGACTCCACTAGATGGAGAGTTCACCATTGGATCCCAGACTGGAATATGAAACAGAAAAGCCTACAGGACAGCAAATAAATTAGATGAAACCCCAGGCACCAGAAACGTATTAGTCATATTTTTGTTCTTACAGTAAATCTGTCTTTAAACTGATAGAGCCCAAAAGAGAATTTACTTTGTTATTTTGCACTGGGCAGCTCCACTGAGACTTCATGGAAGAACTGGCGGACAGACTTTCAACACATCCTAATGGAAAGGAGGCCAAAGCTGGACAGGCGCAACACCCTTGTCTGAATAGCAGGGAAATGCAGCCACATGACAATTTAAGTTTCAGTATTTCACCTGCAAGCAATCATCTGCATACATTCCCCTAGGAATGCTTATTAGTTCAATAAACAGTACCTTGTCCCATAGGTCTAAAAGAAATAGTGATGGGCAAACCTCAACAGACAAGCAGTTTGTGCTAGCGCACAAAGTAGCAGGAGTTGGAAAGGTTATACTCACTACTGAAACTTGTGAGGTCTAAGAAACCCCACATTAAATCTCATGAGATTAGATTTGCTTGTGAAATCTGAGGTTGACACTGGAAATACCCTTTATATTTTGGCACTCATTTCCAGGCCTGACAGAACAAAGTACAGTGACACTGAAAACTGAAACAGAACTTTGAAAATCACAGAAGAGTTTGGTTTGAGTTCAGGGCAAAGGTTCACGATGGCTTCTCTTGTTGCTGTAATGCTTCACCCATCTTTAGTATAAACAGCATTACTATAAACTCCTATTCCTAAAATAAACAAGTGAAGGCACGTGAGAGGTCTGAAAGCTTCAGGAGATCACTCACAACAAAGACTGTAGCATAAATGAACAAGGCAGGCAGTGAACTAAACTGAGTGCCCACTGAGCTTAACTGTAAGGAGCATTTTCACATTACCTTTGAGTTTTCAAGCTCAAGTAAATACTAATTCCAGCTATGTTTGTGTGTTCATCTTAGGCACTGTGATCAGCTATTAATTATTCAGGTCTTTGGACCTGAACTAAAAACTCACAAGAGAAGAGGGAAGGGAGCTTTGCTTTTTAGCAGACCCATAATAGACAGAGAGCTATCAGGGACACTGAGAAATTCTTACTTTACGCAGCAAGAACACACCCAGCGAACAGGCACTGATTAAGAACCCCTGCAGTTCACAGCCTGTACGAGGGTAAATGCAGTTCTGACCTCTGAACTCCATGAACCTCCGGAGTTGTGGAGGGCCCCGCAACTGTGTGATCACCTAAAATAAGGTCAAAGCATCCTCCTCTATTTCACTTGCACATCTGCACCTTGCTGTACAGTTCTGGTGATGCTTAATTCCATCATCAAGAAAGCAGCCCACAAGCAGAACAATCCTTTCCTTCCTGCTACCCAGCTTGGTGCCCATCTCCCTCAACAGAGAAAGCAAAGAGCAGCTTTCAACATGAAGCACACTCTGTTGCCCTCGTGCATTTGCACAAAGCTCACAAGGAGACATGATGCAAGCAGATAGAGCTCCACGGGTAGAGAGAGGGACGGACAGAAAACAGGATGAGCTACTTGCACTTCAGTCATGTGGAACCTAGCTGATCACAGGCGAGGTATACAAATACCTCACGCGCATCCTACCTTTGTGCATACATATAGCAGGCAGACACTAATATAGGACAGGCAGTCGTGCACAAAATCTTTAGAAGTATTTGATTCAATTAACTATAGTCTACAAGTTAGACACTGTAATCTTACGTCATTACGCTACTTCATAGAAAACTCAACTTTACAATGAATCTAAAGACCTTCCATCAACTTGCATTCATCGTTGCTGCTCTTCAGGGAAAAATGAAGCAGTCAACGCTTATTAGATTACAGAGGTCAGCTTCTGCCTGGAGATGCTCACAGAAGCCTCATGGATTTCTTTTGTTTCTGAAAGGGTTCAGGCAGCAATGACTGCTAGTATGTAATCCGTCACACAAGGTGATGGGAGAAGGAAAGGAAAGCAATGATCAAAGTTCTGCCCTGGAAGAAGTGTGTTTTCCAGACTCTCACTCTCCACAGGCAGGGAGTAAAAGAACTGATTAAGAAATATTAGTGGGAGAGAAGCCTTAACCCTGATAAAAAAGCACATGTTTTTCATGACTCTGCAAACATCTCTCTCTGCTCTAAATATGATCCTGCCAGTCCATGATTGGTCTCTGTTCAAAAAAAGTCATCTCCTCTGTTCACTTTTCTCTCTCGAGGATGTACTT